GACAGGGAACAAGGGTGAGGGTTGGGAGGGGGGAACGCGGATTATACCCAGGTGCTTTGGGCAGAGAGCTGAGTGTTAGGTTGATTGAGTCTAATGAAATTTATTTACAACCAGTTGTATTTAAACTGACTGCATGGCCACTTTTTAGGCCAATGAAATTCAGCATGTCGCATGAAATTAATTAATGCCTAAGGGAATCCTTCATTGAATCATATGTTAGCAGCCAACTCTGTAAAGGGAATCCTCCCCCTTCATTCTAAGAACTTGCCCAGTGGGATCGATTCGATGCTGCGGGCGTGTGCGTCCTGTCTCCGTGCAGTGGTGTGGGTGAAGGCTGCTCCTGTGAAAGACAGTGACCTGGCAGCCAGTTCCTAGGAGGTCTGCACAGCCCCAGGGGCATTATTTTTATTTTATTTTAATAAGGAAAATAAAAGCATTGCCTTGCATATTAAGTCAGCTTATGAATGAAGAACCACTGAATGACTGCCATCAGGTTATATACCGTGTATATATGATGAATGTAGCATGAAGAAGGCGACACTCTACAATGGTAGAATTATTGCTTCAGACATAAAGCATCCATGCTTTAGGTACCTAATTAGGCCTGTTCTACCTGTGTCTCAAGTTGTCAAAATATTACTGACATTTATGGAAGCAAGTGAGGAGGAAAGTGGGAGGTTTTCTGGCCGGCAGAACTGCAGGTCCAGGCAGATGGGGCCTGAAGTCAGAGCTGCCTGTGTCGGTGAAAGGAGCAAACTGGGTCTTGTCTCCTGAGAGAGATTTTGTCCTCTGTTCGGTTTTATATTTCGTGCCGGCTGCTGAGGGCCAGGAGCCCACAGGAGCAGGGGGACGAGCAGGCAGGAAGAGACGCCACACATGAATGTTGCTGTGAGTGCTCCTGGGCAGGCTTGCTCGGTGTTGTCGAGTTTCCAACACTGTGAATGGAAGAGGGTGCAAAGCCTGAGAATTCTTTTTCTGAAATGTACTTTTAAAATAGGTTTTTCTTCCCTTCTTTCTCTTCCCTTTTTACTAGGAATTGAGCTGGATGACGATGGGTCTCTGGACGGAAGCAGTGACCTAACAATTAGAGGGCGCCTGCTGTCCCTGGTGGAGAAGGTGACGTCCCTGAAGAAGAAGCAAGCTGACAAGCCAGCGGAGAGTGCCTCCGACAAGTCCTGTAAGCAGTGGGAGAGGCAAGGGGCCCCGCTGCTGACACTTACCCATCCTTTCAACGACGTCGCACTGGAGAGCCAGGGAGAAACTGATTCTTGAGTAGATGCCTGTTGCCGCCAGAGGTGCTCAGCAGCATCAGATGATACTTGTAGAAACAGATGGAGAGAGAGCACATTATGAGGGGGGATGGGCTCTGGGAGCACTAAAGTTTAGGTGTTTGGAGACTAGGAAGAGAAAGCACAAGAGA